GAGCCTCTTGATGTGGGTGAAGAAGAGTGCAAAAGTTGGCTTGAAACTCAACATTAAGAAAACCAAGATCATGGCATCCAGCCCTCTCAATTCCTAACAAATAGATGGGGAAGAAATGGAGGTAGTGACAGATTTTATCTTCCTGGGCTCCAAGATCACTCAGATGGGGACTGCAGCCAAGAAATTAAAACACGCTTGCTCCTGGGGAGGAAAGCTATGGCAAATCTAGACAGCATACTAAAAAGCAGACATCACCCTGCCAACAAAAGTGCGTGTAGTCAAGGCCATGGTTTTCCCAGTTGCAATGTATGGCTGTGTAAGTTAGACCATAAGAAAGGCTGAGCGCCAAAAAATTGAGGCCTTTGAACTATGGTGCTGGAGAAGACTCTTGTGAGTCCCCTGGACTGCAAGGCGATCAAACCGGTCCTAGAGGAGATCAACCCTGACTGCTCTTTAGAAGGCTAGATCCTGAAGTTGAAACTCAAGTACTTTGGTCACCTAATGAGAAGGAAGGACTGACTGGGAAAGATTGAGGGCAAGAGAAGGGGACGACAGAGAATGAGGTAGCCACTGAAGCAGTAGGCGTGAGCTTAAATGGACTCCAGAAGATGGTAGAGGACAGGAAGGCCTGGAGGAACATTGTCCATGGGGTCGCGATGGGTCGGACACAACTTCGCAACTAACAACAAATGTTGCTATTTTGTTACTGCTTACCTTATTTTGTTTTTTGGGGTGATTGTGAAGTATTCAGGTCTTTTCACTGAAAGGAAGCATGTGAAAATTTGCATAATAAAAATCCGAACAGACTCGATGATTTCCCAAGTTTCAAAGCATGGCTCTTAGCCCTATCTCAGATTTTATGAATTCAAATTCATCTATATCATCAGTATGTGATAAGACTTTAATTTTGCTGGAGCTTCCGGTGGCGAGGCGTTGCCGAAGGAGGCTTTTTCTTCAGCCTCCAGCCCGGGATTGCGTCAAAGCCGTCAAAACAGCGTGGATCAGCTGTTTTGCGGCTCGGAACTTTCTCCCCGGGCGAAGGGGAGAAAGTGAGTTTGGTCTGGATAGGGGTTGAGTTCCCTAGTCCCCCCAGGAGCGATCCTGGGGGGATGAAGGTGAGAACTCCCCCGGAGTCCGGACCTCTTCTCCGCAGCTCGGTGCATCTTCGTTCCTTGGAGCGAAGCCAGACGTCGCTGCCACTGCTGTTACATTGTATCTGCTTGTGAGTAACTTTTGAAACAGACGGAACCTGATAGGGGATTTTTTTTATTTCAGTTAAAATGTGACTTTAACTCGAAGATTTTATTGGGATTTTTATTACTTGCTATAAGTGAAAGTGACAAGAAAATGGCCGCGGAAGCATTCCTTTTTTTTTAACAAAAGGAAAACTTTCACTTTCTTTCCGGTTGTGGATGTACTTTAAAGGATTTTAATTTTTTTTTACTTAAAGTCAAGTTTTTCAAGTTTATACTTGCTGTGGTGATTTTTAAAAAATAATTTGGCAGAATGGCTTCAAAACGTACTGTCCCTGCATTGCCTAAAACAGCTATTTCTTCTCCTGTGGTGCAAATTCAACAACAAAAATCTAGATCTCCCCCACCAACACCTCCTCCCTCCATTACACTTAAAGATTTACAAGAGGCTTTAGCCAAGTCCTCATTGCAGACTCTGAAACAAACAGAAGAACTTTTGGATAAGAAAAATCAGGAACTTTGTGAAAATTTATCACATATTTTTCAAGGACTTGCAGCTCATATTGATCGTGTAGAGGGAAGAGTGGAATTAGTGGAGAAAATGGAAGGAACGGAGGATAGACTTGAAAAGGTAGAGGAAGGAGTGGAAACTTTTCAAAATGACATGGTAATGTTACAATATAAACAATTGGAATTTGCTCTGAGAATCAGGGGCCTTAAAGAGGACCCACAAGAGAAACTTAAAGAGGAAGTTGTTACAGCTTTGGCCCTGGTATTGAATTGCAACCCAGAGATGATTTGTGGAGAAATAGAAATTTTTTTTAGAGTGAACTCCTGGGTTGCACGTCAAAGAAACCTACCTAGAGATGTGGTTGTTTATTTTACCACAAGAGTACGTCGTAATGAAATTAAACAGCTCTTTTATCAGCAGAGATTTCAAATTGCAGCACAAGATATTATACTTTTAAAAGAAATACCTTCTAAGATTTTAAGAAGAAGAAAGGATTTTACATTTTTGACTCAGGAGTTAAAGAAGCGGCAGATACCTTTCAGATGGGAAATTCCTTTGGGTATTATATTGAATTTCGCAGGGACCAGACACAGATTAAACTCTGTTCAAAAAGCCAAAGATTTTTATTTGTCGGTCCTGAAAGCTGATATGTCACCATCATCGACATCTAAAGCACAAGAAGATCTGATGGAGCAACTTGTGGAAATGCCTGGGGCTATGTCATTATCGGTAGAAGATCCTCAGAAGGAGCAAAGGATGACCCGTGCTGCTTATAGGCGTAAAGAGAGAGAGCAACAAAAAGAAACAGTCTCTATAATATATCCACAGCCTTCGGAGCCAGTGGGAGGGGCGAGGCCAGAGATCTGCAGCGACAGACATGCAGGGAATGCTTAGCAAGCTTTGTAAGCCAAAAGATGGATAAATGCTGGAAGTGAGACTTTATTATGGAAATGGAAGAAATTAGTTCATTATATGTTTGTAAAGAATTGATAGTTTTTTGTTTTTGTTTATTTGAAAGATGTAAAAAATTAAGATTGGGATTTTATTTTATTTTTCCAGCTGTGAAGCAGGAAGTATTGACTTAAGATTTTATTGAAAGTATAGACTGGAGGGGGAAGAAAGTGAAGGGAAAATTTAAATGTAAAATGTAAGAAAAAATTATGTAAAGTTTAAATGTTGAAGGTGGATAGATCATATTTAGAGAAAGTATGGAGTGATTAAATGTTATATAGTTTTTGAGTAGATATATTGGTTTTTAATTAATTTTAATTAATTTAATTGCCTTATTAGAGTTAAAGTAGATATATACTGATAGCATTATATTTGTTTAGTTAAATTGTAATTTAGATTTGGAATGATGTGTTTCAATCCTGTATTTGGTTCCCGGAAGCTCGGGGGGGGGGGAAGGGGATTAGGGGTATTAAAAATTTTTTTTGATGTATTCATATGCTATAGGTAAATAATAATTGTATTGATAAGGTTGTAGATTTATATGTGGTTTTTTTTAAGGAGGTGCCCGGTGAATACCCCAACTGCACCAGACGGGATGGTTGAGAGAGGAAGGGAAGTAGGAGAGAGGGAGGAAGGAGGAGAGGTAGTAGGTCCAGGGGGGAGGAAGGTGTGGAAAGTGAAAGAGGGGAGTGCAGGGGGGGGGGGACATCGGACACTTCCGTGAATGTATTGAATAGTGTTATCTTTTTTTTTTGGTTGATATTGTGACTAAATGCATCATATTTTTGTGATTGTTTTTAACTGAAAAATTAATAAAAATTTCTAATAAAAAAAAGACTTTAATTTTGCTAATTAAATGGCTAACACCAATAGTAGCTTGGGCTTGAAAAATTGTAATTATTTTTAAGAAACATCACAAATGTATTACAAAAAATTACAAAGTAAATTAGGTGAAATGCAAATTAAATGATACAACCATTTCTGTGGGAAGTCCTTTCAAGAGTATTGTTCTTTAAAAGTAAACATCACTCAGTTTAAATTCTATTTAATATTTTTCCTAATATAAAATCAGTCATTTTTCTTCATTTTTGGACTCTGCCTATTAAAGCACTATGTGTTTCAATTCAAAGTTAAAAAGCACACCTACATGCAAAAAGTATACCTACACGACCAGGAGGAGGAGCTGCTACCAGGATTTTGTATAGTTGCTCCTGTAAAGAGTAAAGACCCCAAATCAATGTGGAAGGAGAGAAAGGCTGCCTCAGAAGCCAGCTCTGAACAGGGATCGCAGCCCGCCAGCCCAAGGAGTCCCTGGCCCCCCAACAACACAGAGGTGATCTACAGCAACATGTGTGCTTGTAGCTTTGTGTGCGTGTGAGAGATGCCAATTTTTCAACTTGAGGAGAGAAAGAATTGGGAGGCACAGGGGAGACATGCTTGACTTTATTAGAAAAATGCCTGTTTATACAAGGCTCTGTATTGCACCCTTTATAGAACAGCTCCCCCAACAGACTGAAGCCCAGCCTGATGAACCCCACATAAGCTTAAGTGATACGCATCCTGGTTCCTGTGCAGGATTGCATTAATTATGTATGCTACAAATTACAACATTCGGTAGAAAAATTCTTGGTCTTCTTTATTGTCTCCCATAGGAATGTGACCAATTTTCCCAGTGACTTAAAAAAACAAAGCATATACACTTTTTACGTCATTCTGTAAAAAAACAGACATTATCAAAATGGTACTGAAAACCATTCCATTTCTCGATCAGTGATGCCACGACTGACCGACTGACCAGCGCTTCATGCAAGCAGCCGGCAGCAGCAGAGCTCGGCCGGGGGGGGGGGGGGGGGGNTGCCACGACTGACCGACTGACCAGCGCTTCATGCAAGCAGCCGGCAGCAGCAGAGCTCGGCCGGGGGGGGGGGGGGGCGGCTCTTTTCAGGCAACAGGGAGAAAAGCAGAAAAGGACGACGGGCACAGCTGCTTCTTGGGTCTGCTGTGGCCAAAGGCTCCTTCCCCCCCCCCCCCGTCAGAGCCAGGCAGGCGTGCCAGGAGCAGGAACATGCTGAGGGCTGCAAGGGCAGAGTTTACTGGCGTAGTGGAGGGAGGGTGAGGGGGTAGTGCCAGCCTGGGGGTGGGTGGGAGTAGCAGTGGCAAAGGCAGAGGCAAGGCAAGCAAAAGGGGGCTCTCCGGGCAGTGGGCAGGGCCTCTCTGTCCATCACGGCCTGCTCCCCCCCCCGGCACGGGAGCAGCCAAGATGCTTCAGATGTCCATGCAGTCGTTGTCCTCCTCCTCCTCTTCCTCCTCCTCCTCTTCCTCCTCCTCCTCCTCCTCAGAGTCGCTCTCCAGAGAAGACTCTTGGCTGGAGGTCTCCACCACCTCCAGGGCAGGCTGGCAGAGGGTCTCCTTCTTCACGTTGGCTGCTGACTGGGCCGAAAGTATCGCAGACTGTTCCGGAAGAAGGAATGGTGGGGGTCAGTTACTAGTCCAATCCCCCCATCAGAAATGGGCCCTTCAACCCGCAGAGGAAAAGCACAACCCTCCTGGTTGGATTAGCCCCAGGCACAGAGCAGGAATGGTGGCTCTTCTGTATGGGGGGGGGGGACCAGCTGTTACCACATGGTTCAGAGGGAGAGGACCGTTCTCTGCCACTTCTCCTCCCCACCACCCTTTCAGCCTTCTCCTCCTTCGCATTACTCCCCCCTCCCCATGTAACGTACCTTGAGCTTCTGCTTGGTCTCTTCCGAGATGCTGCCCTTTGGGGACAGGAGGGTGGGTGTTGGCGGAGTGACAGTGATCTCAGGCGGGAATTTGGAGATGGACGAAGGGATGAAGAGCTTTGGTACGCTGGGCAAGGTGCGGGATTTCACTCGGTTGCTGCTGGTTTTGCTGACCTGCCTCCCCAGGGGATGCGCATCTGCCGTGAGTTCTGTCTTGGAACTGGATGCTAAGCCCCCCCCAGTAGAAACGGAAGTGAGCCCCAAGGATCTTTGAAGGCACGGGGGGCACCTTGGTGTGACTGGCCCCTTTTGGATCTGCAACGTATTGTGGAGGACTCTTTCAGCCTCCTTTGAGGCCTGGAGGGCAGAGTGCAAAAATGGGGGTACCCAGCAGATCCTTCCCGCACCCCAAATGGAACCAAACGAGGATCGAAGCTTTCCTCACCTGGATCCGCTGTCTGCCCTGCTGACTCCAGCTCCACCTGCCAGGGTGGTAGAACAGAAGAGGGGATGACAGCAGCCATTTTCATCTGGTGGCAGAGGGGGGATTCCTGGTGTGGTCCTGCTAGGCGTGACTCCGATCTGCTCTCCTCTTCTTTGTCTGTGCAAACAGAGAGATCCAACAGGGTTACTCTTACAGGTGTAAACTGTCCCATCCCAGCCCTGGGAGCCCCTAGAAGAGATTTCTCCAGGCTCATCGGAGGTTCTTGGGGAACATTCCTGAAGCTGACCTTTCTGCAAATCAAGAGTGTGTGTTGAGCTGCTAACCATTAGCACAGTGGTTAGGATACTGGTGTTTACTGGAGAGAACTGGTTTCTATGGCCAAGCAAGGGAGCCCCCCAAATACAAGCCAGAGAGAAGTTAAGGAAAGTGGGGCTATATTCAGGCCACCAAATATGGGGGGATTTCAGCATTTCATGCCCCAATGGCTGTAAACCTTTCTCTGTCCTGGGAGATGCGAGTTTGCAGGCCACAGGTAGAGCATCCCAAGAGGAATTGGAAACATGGGATGCCCATGGGGCTGCTCCAGAGGTCAAATACATGGCAGGGTTAAGGATCTGAATGAAGCAAAGGTTGTCGAGCAGAATGAGGGGCCAATGGGTGAGTAGGGAAGTCCCTCAGCCATTCTTAGAAGTTCTGCTGCAACCCTTTTTGCTTGGATCCACAGAAGATACAGCCCTGGCCCAAGCAAAGAGCTGGTTTGCTCGCAAGCAAACCTGTATCTCCCTGGAACCCGAGGCCCTGCTCTAAGCACTTTTCTACACAAGAATTCCAGAAATCAACCTGAGACAGAATCACAGATGCACAACAGAAAAGAGACATCATGCCTGCCAATACTTTTCTGCTTTATTGTGGAAACATCAGGCTGGCAACAGAAGTCAGCACCAGCAGCCCACTCCCCTCCTACTGCTGACTGCTCTTCCCTTGTTGCCAGGGCAACCTGTTTGCAGATGCTGACAGCAGAGGGTGGCGCTCATCTGCTGGTGCCTCACACTGGCTTATTCCCTCCAATTCCTCAACCCACACTCCCTGACAGATGAGCACCAAAACTCTCAGACTTATGGTCTCCTGGCTTCAGGCTCAAGACCTTCTCATCCTTCAGCTCCAGGTCACACAATCCTTTTTATTCAATTTTCAATTTGGAATAGAGCTGGAAGGGACCTTGGAGGTCTTCTAGTCCAACCCATTGCTTAAGCAGGAGGACCTATACCATCTCAGACAAGTGACCTCTAGCCCCTTCTTAAAAAATCTCCAGTGATGGAGCCCCCAATTTCTGAAGGCAAGCTGTTCCACTGGTTAATTGTCCTCACTGTCAGGAAGTTTTTCCTTAATTCTAGGTTGCTTCTCTCTTTGTTCAGTTTCCAACCATTAGTTTCTTGACCTGCCCTCTGGTGCTTTGGTGAATAACCTGACCCCCTCTTCTTTGTGGCAGCCCCTCAAGTACTGGAATACTGCTATCATGTCTCCCGTTTTTTCTTTTCTTTGGACTAACCCAGGGGTACGCAACGCTGGCTCTTTTTATGACTTGTGGACTTCAACTCCCAGAATTCCTGGACTAGCCAAACCCAAGTCCTGCAGCCATTCTTCATATGTTTTAGTCTCCAGGCCTTTGATCATCTTAGTTGCTCTTCTCTGAATTTTTCCCAAATTCTCAACATCTTTTTATGCTTCACTGTCAGTGTTTTAAATAATGTTTTGAATCTCCATCACTGGAGGTTTTTAAGAAGAGATTGGACAGCCATTTGTCTGAAATGTTATAGGAACTCCTGCTTGAGCAAAGGGTTGGACTAGAAGACCTTCAAGGTCCCTTCCAGCCCTGTTACTCTGTTAAAGGAAGCAAGAAGTGAAGGGTCCCATGTCAGAGGCCTGCTTCAGCAGCCAAGCCTGACCCAGTAATCAAGGGGAAGATGATTCGGCTGCCAGAGACGTATCTCTTTCTATGTCTTCCACATCAAATGAAGACCGCTTTGAAATCACCCAATTTTTTAACTAGTTGTAGTCTCTTAGCTACTTCATTTCTCATCCTCCCTGTTTAGGTTTCACTGCTGTTGAAGGCCGCTTCCTGAAGCCAAGGCACCACCTTCTCCTCCTTTTTGTCCAATGGAGCATCTTGGGAGGGGCTTCCTGGACTGAAGGCCAATTCCAACCTATGAGTGACATGCTAAGACAAAGTGACACCCCTCCGTACCAGGATCTTGCCATCTATGTGCTGATGAAGACATTCACTCTATGCACAAGCACCATGAAGTGCACAACTCAACAGCACCCCTATCTTTCCCATCAGAGAAGAGGTGAAGGGAGCAGTTCTGCTGCTAAATGAACAGTGCCAGCCACATGCTGAAATTATTTGAAATGCTGCCTTTATGTGTCATTTGCAGAGGCTGCTATTAAGAAATCATCCTAATTTCTGAGGGATCTCAAAGCACTTCCAGGGAGCTTTGAACAAGACACCAAGTGGACAGATTCATGCACACAGGACATCAGACTGAATCTACTCAGCTGAGCTCCATTATGATTAGAGCTGGAGAGAATTCAAGGCTTCATGTTATTTGCTACATAACAACTTTTCGTGGTCTTTCTCCCGTAGGTTGTGTGGTCCATGTGTCCCTGCAACCTGGAGGATCCATCTCTAGATGCCAGAAATCTCTTTCCCAAACGCACAATGCAACCCAGTCCTCCAATGTTCAGCTACTGTAACATGGCTGGTGTGCTTCTCTGGAGCGGTTAAACCAAGGACACTCAGCATTTCAGGGGGTGTAAAATATGTCTCAGGAAGATGAACCCGGGACAGGAGGATAAAATCCCTAGACGGCAGATGATACGTGTGGATGATACATTAATCTCTGATCTTGGCACTGGACAACATGATGGATCACTCCCAAGCTGTGGACAGTTAGGGTGGGTGGGCGGGCACTGGACAAATGCCAAGAAGAATTTATTTAAGTAGATAAGGAACCAGGATTTTCACTGAATTCGCTGTGCTCCCTTTGTGTTGTGACCTGTTACTGGACTAAATGCCAGCTCCAATCTACTAGTAACATGAATAGAGCTGGAAGGGACCTTGGAGGTCTTCTAGTCCAGCCTCCTACTCAAGCAGAGAAGAGAGATACCCATCCAGACCAGAATCTTGCAACTCTTTGTGAGTTGGATGAAGAGACCTTACGATGAGCAGCCAGTGAGGTATTCAGAGATTGCAAGGAAGGCCAGACTTGGAATGAGGGGAGGCCTTCTCTGGTGGCCATCTGGGCAGCAGGGGACAGGCCACAGAAGGACCAGAACACAGCAGGAACAGGAGGGCCAGCACTTCGGAAGCAGCACTCCTTTCAAAGAGGATTCAATGGAGGGGGGGGGGGAGAAGGCAGGAAAATGGAGGCTGGACCTTCCAACAGCCTGGACCTGAAAGGAATGTGTGTGTGTGTGTCCTGGGATAGGGCAAGAGCAGAGGGTGTGTGTATGTGGGGGAGGGGAGGCTCTCTTTAGTCTTGTTTCTGAATCACCTGTTCTATCCTACATACTTTATGGCTTGGGTCCCCCAAAAGTCATTCTGACTCATTAGGCTATTTTAGCATTCCTCGGCTCTCAAGACTCTGAGCATGCAGAAATGTCACTTAAGACGATCCAAATGGGAAAACCATGGGGAGGCAGCTGCTGAAGAAGCCACATGGAGATTCCTTGATTTCAGTAACAATTCCCCAATGGGAAATCTTCTGTCCTGGAGCATGACGCGGGTGCCGGGTGATCCCGATTACAGAGACCCATTTCAATTAGGCTTCAGACCTGGTTGCGGTGAGGAAACCATGGATGCATGCTTGCTGAGTGATGATCTGGACGGTGCTCCAAGCAGCTTTTCTGCATTTCTTAAGCCATGATACATCGAGAGTGGCATTTAGAATAGAATAGAGCTGGAAGGGACCGTGTTGGTCTTCTAGTCCAGTCTCCCGCTCAAGCAGGAGGACCTATACCATCTCAGAAAAGTGACTCTCTAGCCTCTTCTTAAAAATCTCTAGTGATGGAGCACCCACGATTTCTGGAGGCAAGCTGTTCCACTGGTTAATTGTCCTCACTGTCAGGAAGTTTCTCCTTAATTCCAGGTTGCTTCTCTCTTGGGTCAGTTTCCAATCATTGTTTCTTGTCCTGCCTTCTGGTGCTTTGGATAATAACATGACCCCCTCTTCTTTTGTGGCAGCCCCTCAAATACTGGAATACTGCTATTACATCTCCCCTATTTCTTCTTTTCTTTAGACTAACCAAGCCCAAATCCCGCAGCCGTTCTTTGTGAGTTTAGAAGACAGTATTTCATGGTGCTTCTGCTCCTTCTTGGACCAAGCATTTCAAAAGAGGATTTTGCTTGTGCAGTTCCTAAACCACTGTTAATCCTGATTTTTAATACACACACACACACCAGAGAGAGGGAAGGAGGGAGGGAGGAGGGAGGGGAGAGAGAGGGAGAGAGCAAGCAAGCTGCACTCTCCTCCAGCTACTAGTGCCTTTCTGAATCAGTTTCTCAGTTATCTTGAAAGCCTCAGCTGGGTTGATACCATATTGCCTAAAAGCTGCTTTCACCATTGAGGATCTGCAAGAGAGGCGCCTCCCCCCCCCACTTGCCAAGGAGAGGCGCTCTCTACCCCTGGGGCCCATCAGCCCTTCCAGGCCAGCTTTTAAAAAGCCCGGAGAGCAATTTATGCTCTCCAGCCTTCCTCCTGCATAGATGTATTGCTCTGCTTGGAATTTAGCTGGGTTTTAGCACCCAGTGCAAAGGGATGCTCTGACTACTTCAAAGAGGCCAGTTCTGAAAAGGAAGTCCCACGGCTGCCTAAAGCAACTGCCACCAACCACAGGAAGAGACTCTCCGAGGAGGAGGAGGAGGCAGACCCATCAGTCGAGAAGCAGATCTTTACAAGAGAAAAGCTCACCAGGTCTGAGACTGGACGTAGGAGGCATCTCCTGGAGGTTCTCCACCCCTGCCGGCTCCTGTGGTGGCAAGAGGAGACCACCGGTGGCAGAAGAGGAGGAGGAGGAGGAGGAGGAGGAGGAGGAAGAGGAGGAGGGCGAGGCTGCCTTGGGCTTGCTCTGCTGATCTGCCGGTCTGGGTGGGACTTCTGCAACCGAGGAGGCAGTGTCCGCAGCAGTCCCCAGGGGGGGCGTCAGAGACTTGGGGGCAGCAGCAAAGAAGTGGTCCCTGCTGTCTCTGGGGTGCTTTGGGGTGGCAGGAGCATCTCCGGCTGACTAGAAAAAAGAGGAGAAAAAGGAAAAACAGGGCGACGGGTCAGGGGGGGTGTTTCGTAATTGCATGCAGGGCCCAACTCCACCCCACTGGCAAATTCTACAGAGTGCATTTCTTACCTGCCCCCCCCCAGCTGCACCCTTGACCGTAAAGGCCTCTGTGCCTAAAGAAGCTTCCAAAACCCAGGCACAGAACTTGCTTTTTCCTAAATGATGTATTTTAGAAGATATGGATATGAACCGAAATTCCCCCAGAAAGAAATGCAAAAAAAGAGTTTTTTCTTGGGAGGGGACATGTCAGACCGAGGCATCCTGAGCCACGGGATCAGTCTCAAAGGGCCACCTTCCACCAAGTGTAGCCAGGAGGCTTCCCACCCTTGCTCAGAGCTGCTAGCCCCATGCCAGCTCTCTGAGGGTGCTCTAGAAGTAGGAAACATACATGAAGAAATAAAGCACAGGGAAATGTGCCGGATACAAATATAACATGGCAGACTGAGCCCAAGGACGAGACCCGACCTGAATCTCTCCGTTTCTGACCCCCAGACTGAAGCAGAGGCAGGCAGGCCAACAAACCTGCTTTGTTCTACACCAAAACACCCCGAAGTCATGGACCATGCAAACAAGCAACAGTTCAGTGCATGGAGCTATTAGTAGACTGGATGCTCTGCACCTCTTGCTGGACTCCCAGGGAGCATTCAGGGCTGCATCCGAGGGGAAAAGGCGCATGCGCTGGCCTGCCTCTGGCCGCATCACAGAAGAGCAAGCCAACGTTGGCGCAGAGGAAAGGGAAGGGCCGATCTGAAGCCCAGCGGAGCCACTCCAAGGGCTGGCAGGACCAGGCACGGTTCTCCCCTCCTTCGCTGGGCTCCCGGCAGCAGCCACAAGCAGCTCTCACACTGGCTGAGGAGACCAGCTGAGGACTTACCTGTTTTTGGGCAGAAGCACCAATGTGCACTTGGCAAAATTTGACGGCCTGTTCCAGAGCTGCCGCTTCATCAACCTGCGGGCAGAAATCACATTAGGGAGCCCAAGCAGTCAGAAGACGCTTCCTAAAAGACGTTCAGCCAGCCCTGTCTGGGAAGGCCGCGCTCAAGACGCCCCCAGAACAGGTCTCGGTCCCCCCCCTTTCGTGAAGCTCTCTCCCAAGGGGGGGGAGGGGTTCTTTTGACAGACAAAATGGGCTTGCCTCAGAGACAATCCTTCTGGGAACAGGCAGTCTTTCTCATGGCTAGCTATGTTGCTTCCTTTTCATAACGGATTTTTTGTTTCAGTTGGGGCAGTGCTTGCTTATTTTATTTAGGCTGATTTGGGCCATTTATTTTTAAAATGTATGCTTTTGTGAAGCACCCTGAGGTGAAATTAGTAAGAATCTGCGGCTGCCATTTCTCTCGACCAACAGGCGGGCCTCCCTTTCCTCACCTATCCCCGGATGCCAAGAGGGAAACGAGCCCAGCTGTGGGGGCCACCGCCAGTCAGCACCTCGCAAGCCCTTTACTCACTTGCTTAATGAGCATGTAGGTCTCAGACATGATCTTCTCAATTTTGCCTAGGTCATAGGTCATGACCTTCTGCCCTTGCTGCCACACGCGGTAGGCGTCCAGAAGAAGGGTCTTCCCCGACTCTGTTTCCCCGGCCAGCTTCCTCTTCCGGTTGGGCTTCTGGCTGGTCTCTTCTGGGGGGCAGGCCTGGCCCTGGGCCTTCCCTGCCTCCAGTTGCTGGTGCTTCGAGCTGATGCTCAAATCCTCCAGGGATAGCTCTGCCGTGGTCCGGCTCTCGGGAACCTTGTCCTTGCAGACCTTGCCAGAGGGTGCTTGGGCCAGCTCAGGATAAAGAGAAGAGGCCTCCATTTTTTCAGGCTCAGCAGCAAAATGGTCATACTCCATGGGCTCGGCTGTGCCTGATGGAGACACTCCTTTCGTTTCTTTCTCCGGCTTGCCCTCAGCTGGCTCCATGGCAGCGAGAGGCTGGTCCTGGCCCTCTTCTCGGGCCACGTCTTCAATGTCGCAAGACACCCCCTCCTCTCTGGACAAGGCTGCCTTTGGGGGCATGTCTTCCTGGCCCTCCTCTGCACTTGCCTTGTGAAAGACATCAGTAGTCATTCTTGTCTCCAAAATGTCACCACACTGTCCACTTTGATCTTCAGAGACCTTCAAGGCAAACAGAGTTAGCTGGCTGAAGTTCCATGAGCGTCTGCATTGTGGGCGGTGTGGGAAGACTTACCTCGCTGAGCTCATGCAACATGTCCTCTAGCACCATCACGGTGAGAACAAAGGCGCGCTGGGCAAGAACCTGGCGATCCGCATCTCTCAAATATTTCCTGTAGTCAGGAAAGGAAGAGCCATACAGGTTAGAGGCATTTCAAGGGGATCCAAGCCATCCGTCACACACCACGCCGCACCATCACGTTCTCCCAGGCCCATCTTACAGGGCAGTGGCTACTCAGACTCAGTCGTGGGTGTAGTAAAACACTCCATAAATTTTATATGCAGCGACACTTTCTATCCTTAGCCACAGATCCACTTATGGAGTTACCTGGCTGAAGTTAAAACCACACGACTCCAAATGGCAACAGAGCCTGGAAGTCAAAGCCTTAAAGGAACAATTTCTGTCCTCTTTTCATCCCAACAACAGAAGGACCAAAGGAGGATCGTTCGTGTTCCTCTTTCTGGAGCTGGCCTTGCCCGTCAGAATTTGATGACGAAACTTTGCCCTCACTACAGGACATGATCCCTCAACAGGGCTCCATTTCTATCAAAATAAAAACATCTTTATGCTGTCAACTTGCAAAGCTGCTAACAAACACTTTCCTCTGCTTGACCCAATTGGCCACTTTTCCCTCCAAAAAGCTTCAGTTAAACCAATGTCATGTATTCAAAATTCTTTTGACAACTTGAGAAAGTCCCAGCAGCGTCAATGAGCAACTCCTTAATCAGAGGCAGAAGCAAGATAACTGGGATGAAGCCTTTGGGATGTGCTAAGCTCTGATCCCCAGGTTTTTTTTTCTCTTCTTTGGGGTTCCCAGCCCCAAAGCTCAACTCCCAGCTCAGGAAGGCACTGGTGACACAAGGAAAGCCATCTTTAGTTTTGTGAATGCTATCAAGAAGGGCCTGACTTCCCTTATTGTGAGGGTAGCTCTAGGACTGGGGAGACCATTTGCACAGGGAGAAACCTCCCCCTCCCCCATCAGCAAAGCCTGGGAAGTTCCACCCTCCCCTCATGGAGGGAACAGGGAAGCGAAGCCTTCGGCACTCACTTTCCCTGGTCGGGGGTCCTCTGCAGCATAGAGGAGATTTTCAGCAAGGTGGGGTAATCTTTGAGTTGGGACAGCACGTTCAGCAGCAGGACGATGGAGCGGTTCATGTGAGAGGCGAAGCTACCGGGACGGTCAATTTCATCCACGGGGATGCGCCAAATTCCCTGTGCAGAAAGCAAGAGGAGGAGACAAGTCACAAGGAGGACATGCCCTTCGACTTTGGCAGGCAGAGGACTTTGCCTCTTGGATATGCCGACTTCCCCATCTAGTCTCCAGCCATGGCTGAGAAGGCCATCAGAGAAAACTTGCTCACCGCTAATCACTTTACCCAGCACAAGGCATGTGTGCTTGCAGAAATCTACACTTCTGGTTTGAACTCAGCTATTCAAGCTTAAAGAGATAAAGAGAGAGAACTTTTATGATTATTTGGCTCCTGGCTAACTGTGGTCAGTTGTGGAAGAAACAGGCAAGAGAGACACTCGCAGATGTTGGTTAAGCTGCTAACAGTATTGAGGCAAGACCAGGGTCATGTCTTCTTTTACCTAGTTCAGGGGAAATAATGGAGGGACCTGCATCTGGAGGTGGGAATGGGCGGCTAAGGATCCAGAGGAGGCCCGCCGAGTCCTTAAAAGCTCAGGGGAGGGTCCTGGGATGCTTTTGAAGGGCCGCTGTTCCCTTTGAGGGTCTCTTAAGGGCCAGGATACCTGCTGGCTGCTCCAAGGGCCCCCCAGAGACTATTCACACGACTGGAGGCTGCAATCCTGAGGCTCCAATAATGGAAAGGCCTCGGTCATCTGGAATCTTCCCCGTCCCCCAGCAGGCCTCTCCCGACCCCCGGGCTCCTCGGTCTCGCGGGCCGGTCTACCTCCGCGCATTGAAATCCGGCTTGCACGTGAAAAAGGCAAGGCAGGGCCGCTCCACGGCAGGCGACTCGGGATGCCCGAGTCGGGCTCGGCGGCTGTGCCAGCATCCCCTGGCACCGGGAAGCCTCCGCAGAGAGCGCCCGGGAGGGCCGCCGCCGCCGCCCGCCTCTCTCTCCTCTCTGCGCCCGGTCGGAATTCAAAGCGGAGCCGCCCAGGAAGGAAGTGAGCGCGGCGGCGGCGGCAGATCAGCCTCCTGACTCTCCAGCCGCCGACCCCACCTGACCCCCGTCGCCCGCCTTCCTTCCTTGTCGGGAGCGGCCGCGCAGCCCCTCCCTTCCCGCCCACGCCCCCCGGCGGCGGCTCACCATTTCGGACGGGCGCAAGCAGCGGCCCGCCGCCCCGCGAGCGGCGGTAGCGGTCGAGGCGAGGTTCGTTGCACCGCCGCTGCCTCTGCCTCCGCCGCGACTGTTCCCGGGCGGTGCCCGTGCGTGGCTCCGCGGCCGCGGGAGGAGGACGGAGCCATCGCGACCCGCGGCCTCGCCCCGCCACTGCCCGGCCCGTCCTTTGCCGGGCTGCCCTTGCCTCTCTGCGCGGCCGGCCCAGCCCCCGAAGCGACGCGTTACTGCCCGGCCCCTCCTGCGCGTTGCCCGCGCCGCCTACCTCCCCGGCGGAGCAGCGCCGCCCGGCCCGCTGCCCGCGCGGGAGCCGAGAGTAGGGCGCCGCCGCTCCTACAAGGCCGCCGCGTCCTCCCAGCCCCGCCGCTCTGCCTGGAGCGCCCCGGGGAAACGCGGCGCCTTCCCGAAGTCCCCGGGGCCCTCCGCCACCCCCGCGGCAGTGGAAGCGGATCCGTGTCCGCCCCCCGCGGTCCTTTCCCCCGTTTCCCTTCGGCCTCCTCCGCGGAGGGAAGGGAGCCGTCCAGCATCTAAAGCCCCACTTTACTGATGCCGACCCAGCCTGCGCCTCCCAAGGCCGGTGCCATCCCAGTGCCGGACGACGCAGGGGCAGCTTGAATCGGGCCGCCCTCGCTGCGAGCTTCCAGGCCTGCAGCCCCCGCAACCCGCAACCGCCCCAGACTGGAGCCTGGAGACCCCACAGCGCACAAGAGCCGCAGGCGAGAATCGAGGGGAGAAGCTCCCCCCCATCTCGCCGGTCCAAGGTGGACCCCTCCGAAGGAGGCACCTTTAAACGGCGGCGGTGGGGGTGTGTTGTACATTCAGGCAGGGAAGAGAGACGCTTTTAAGAGAAGCGAATACCCCCCCCCCCACGCGGCAGGGTCCTCCGGCCCTAAAGCCTCTTAGAGCGCAATAAAGCAGCGCCGGAGGAAGCCCAGCGCCCTCTGACCTCCCCCCCTCTTGCCCTGCTGCCTTGGATCCATCTCTGCCAACGGCAGCCCAGGGGACCCCCCCCCCCCAACACAGCCTGCAGCACAAACCAAGGCTGGTCAAAAGCTGAGTGCAAGAGACTCCGGTTCAACTCAGGCAAGACTGGGCTTTTGGACCGCATGGTTTTCCCACCTCCCGGTGCCCCTGTTCCTCCTAGGCAGCGCTCCATGTCAGTGCATGATGGCCTCCAGGAGGGGACCCCGAGCGGCCCAGAAAGACGTCCAGACAGCATTAGACAGACAGATGAAGACCCCGTGATACTCTGGCCTGCTAGTTCTGCCTTCTGGAGCCTCTCTTGTCTCCCGGGCTCAACTGACCAGGGGGCTCCAGCTCAGCCTTTAGAAAGGAGAAGTTTGGCTGCTGGATTAAGGCGATCAAAGGGCCTCATTCATAATAGAGCTGGAAGGGACCTTGTTGGTCTTCTAGTCCAGCCCCCTGCTCAAGCAGGACTTATACCATCTCAGAAAAGTGACTCTCTAACCTCTTCTTAAAAATCTCCAGTGATGGAGCACCCACAATTTCTGAAGGCAAGCTGTTCCACTGGTTAATTGTCCTCAATTTCTCCTTCATTCCAGGTTGCTCCTCTCTTTGATTAGTTTCTATTCATTATTTCTTGTCCTGCCCTCTGGTGCTTTGGTGAATAAGTTGACCCCCTCCTCTTTGGGGCAACCTCTCAAATTTATTTATTTATTTATTTATTTATTATTCGAATTTATATCCCGCCCTTCTCCTTGCAGACTCAGGGCGGCTGACAATCGATTAAAAACACCAATAACAATTACAAAATTAAAATTAATTAAAATGAAATATTTAAATTGTCTGATTAAAATATGATTAAAAACCCCTCTAAAAACCCCTCTTAAAAATTGCCCTAGGCCAGNGACCCACCCTGTGGGAGCGTACTGGCCGATGGGAGGTAATCTGTGGCAGAAGGCGGTCTCGAAGGTATCCTGGTCCGCTGCCATGGAGCGCCTTAAAGATGATAGTCAGCACCTTGAAGCGCACCCGGAAGGCCACCGGCAGCCAATGCAGCTCGCGCAGCAGCGGTGTTACGTGGGAGCGACGAGTCCCTCCCAACACTGGAATAATGCTATCATGTCATCCCTAGTTCTTCTTTTCTCTAGATTAGCCAAACCTAACAACCTGCAACTGTTCATGTTTTAGTCTCCAGGCTAAATCATCTTAGTTGCTCTTCTTTGCACTTTTTCCAAAGTCTCAACATCTTTTTTGTAATGTGATGACCAAAACTGGATGCAGTATTCCAGGTGTGGCCTCACTAAGGCTTTATAAAGCAGTAGTAATACTTCACGTGATTTTGATTCTATGTCTGTTTATACAACCAAGTATTGTATTAGCTTTTTTGGCGGCTGCTGCACACGGCTGGCTCATATTTAAGTGATCGTCCACTAGGACTTCAAGGTCCCTCTCACAGTTACTGTTTTTGAGCCAGCAAACCCTGTTGGCTACTAGTTAAAACTTTATTTGTTTCTAGATGTTCACAGATCTGGTTTTTTGATTATCTTTTCCAGTATCTTCCCAGGTATTGATGTTTGGCTGATTCGTCTGTAGTTTCCTGGGTCTTGTTTTTTCCCCCTTTCTTGAAGATGGGAACCACATCAGCTCTTTTCTAATCCTCAGGTGTTACAGAATTTTTTAAAGATATGGTACAATGGTTTTGAATTTTGTTGCAAGTCTTTGTTCATTCTGAGCCTTAGCTTTCCTGACTTCATTTTTGCAGATTTGGGCTATATGCTGGTATTTGGCCTTAGTTATGTGTTGCTCTTTTCATTTTTTTTGTACTTGTCCTTTTTGTCTTTCAGTTTATCAGAGAGAACTTTGTGCAACTATGCTGGTTTCTTCTTCAATTTCTTGTTTTTCTTTTTCAGTGGTATTGTGCTGGATTGGGCTTTTATGATCATATTTTTCAGAGTTTCCCATGCTTCTTGAGTTGTATTCCCCTTTAGGATTTTCATCTATGGAATTTTTCTTAGGCTCTTAGTTTGTTAAAATAAGCTCTTTTAAAGTTTAAGACACTGGCTGGATTATGTGCTATTGCTTGCATTTATATTACAACCAATATGATGTGATCACTCTTGCCCAAAGGTCCGGCAATTTCAACTCCCTCTATCCCTTCTTTATTAGTAAGAATTAGGTCCACTTTATGGCTTTTCCTCTAGTTCCCTCCTCTACCTTTTGGATGACAAAGTTGTCAGCTAAGTTGGTTAGGAATCTGTTTGATCTCCCACTTGCTGCAGAGTTTGTCTCCCAGTTGATATCAGGGTAGTTAAAAGTCTCCCATTGTACTGTGGTGTATTTCCTACATACATTTGTTAATTGTTTAGCAAAAAGTTCATTTATTTTTTTCTGCTTGGTTGGGTGGCCTGTTGTATATGGCTATAACAATGTCATTCTTTTTTCCTTTTATATTGACCCATATGGAGTCCAGGAGGTTTTCATCCTTGGTTTTGTGTATTTCTGTAGAGATTAGTGATCTTTTTTATATAATGCAACTCCACCTCTTTTGTTGGGTCTGTTTCTTTTGAATAGTTTATATCCTTCTATCAGTACATTCTAGTCATGAGTTTCATCCCACCAAGTTTCAGTAATGGCAAATATATCACATCTGCCTTCCTGTACTAATACTTCAAGTTCACCCTCTTTGTTCCTTAAATTTTGAGCATTTGTGTATAGGCACTTGAGTCTTTTATGGATCTTGGGTATGTTTCTTATATTTCATAGTTTGCATCTGGGTTTCCTTTCCATCACTCTCTACTTCATTGTGTTTTTCCTTTTTTTCTTCTTTTTTCTCTTTACTCCCTACCTCCTTATGTGATTGGTTATCTAGCGGTTTTTGCTTGTAATCAGGTTCTAAGGGTCTTGAAGATTGCCCCACCCCCTCATTTTTAGTTTAAAGCCCTTCTGATAAGATGGTCATTTTCCAAATATATACTTTCCAGTTCTTGTGAGGGTAACTCTATCCCTTGCCAGTAGCCCTTCATGTAGGTAATGAAGATCATGGTCTAGGAAACCGAAGTTCTCTCGATGACACCAGTTTTTAAGTCAGTGGTCTGTTTCTAAAATCCTTTGTTCCCTTATTGGATGTTGGCCTTTTGTTGGAAATATAGATGAAAACACCACTTGTGCTCCTAATTCTTTAACTTTCTTCCTTAGCTGTTCATAATCTCATTGTTTTTAGATTCATTGTTGTGTCATTGGTCCCCAAGTGTAGGAGAAGAAGGGGGTAGTAATCCATGGGGTTGATTATTTTACTAAGTTTCTCAGTTACATCTTTGATTTTTGCTCCAGCGAGACAATATACCTCCCTAGATTGACCGTGTGATCTTCAGACTATAGTTTCTAATCTTCAAAGCATTGAATCTTCTATCACCAATATTTGCCTTTTTCCCCCCTATGGAAGTGTGGGATACTATTCTTCCTGTTGCAGGAATGCTGGATTGTGTCTCCTTTTTAGAAACTATTGGTGACTGCTCTTTTATAGGTGTCTGCATATTTTCTTCCAGGGGGAGGGTAGGAAAGCGATTGTTCAGTTCCAGAGGGGCTTCACTGGAGTGGGCTAGGATAGATAGTAGGGACTTTGCTGTTGGTTGCTGTTTTCTTCTAAAAGTGACATGTTTCCATCGGTCTTCCTCTTTGGGTTCATACGGTATATACAGTGATTTTTTTCCAGAAGCTGCTTGTTCCCTATTGTGGTCAATTTGGGTGTATTGGGAACTCTTTCTTTTGCAGTTCATACTTGTGCCCCATGGCCACCTCTGAGCGGGAGGCACAAAAAGGCAGGGCCTGTAGCTGGCTAAAGAAGAGAGGGCAGAGAAAGAATAAATGGATCGTGTCCAAAGGCAAGAGATGCGCAGAGGGGGCTCCCGTGGGGCTTCCTGGTGTTCTATCATGTGGTTTGTAGAAATACAAGTATGCATTTCCATACATTGTTTTTCCTGGAAAACATCATTATCCATATGTTCCATTCTCACTTTTTGTAACCAGGCCAATTGAGCAGTAAGCAAGAAAGCTCCCCTGGTTTGGGCACCTTCAGGAGGCCTCGGCAGCCCCTCTTCCTTGCGACTGAAAGGCATAAGCCTCTGGGAGTGGCAGCTCCCTTTCCCACACGACAGACCCCTTTATATCGCAAAGAGCTGAATGGAAGATAGGTTCTCAATTCCATTCCGAGAGTGCTTCGGATACCCCTTTCTGCCAGCTCTCCGCACCAGGGCCTGGAGAGTTGCTGGGGCTAATACCCCGTCTATACTCATCTAAAGGGCAAAGGTCCATGAGAAGGTTTGAGCCCATGGCTCTCCTCCAACAATTATGTTTTTAGGAACTGGACTTCTGTGCCATGCCACATTCATACCAACTGCTCTCAAGGCCATGACTTGGAGAGCATCCTCATAAAACTTCAAATATTTCTTTGCTGTCCATGGAAGGGGCTGAAATGATTCCAAATTCCTACCATTAGTTCAGAGTTCCCCAATCTTTTGGGATTGGTGGCCCGAAGTGGGGGGAGGGGGGAAAGAAAGGATGGTTTTGTGGGGTGTGTGTGTGAATTCATATGTTCTTGGGGGGGGGACAGGTGCTGCTCTGACTAAAGGAACCTCCTCTCTGGAGCAATGCTCCTCTGCTCAGCCAGGTCAGAGGCTGGACAGAGCTGCCCAAGGCCCTCCCTCCTGTTGCCCAACAGGGAAGGAAGGGAGCAGCTCCAGAGCTGCACATGGGGCAAGGGGGCAGCCGTCCAGGGCAGAGAGGTCCTGCTAGATCCTGGCCCGCCTGCCTAGAATCTCACATGATGCAAAGGAAACAGGCACCTGGGGAAAGCCAGAGAAAGCGCCCTGTTTGTGGCTCGGGCAGCCCACTTACGTTGAAGAAGTTGGTCTTGTTCCTCTCACAGAAGAGACCCTGTGCTGGCATGTGCTTCAGCTGCTGCCAGGGGAGACTGCTGCCTAGCAGCACATCGCGCGCCCACGGCAGATTCTATATAGAACAGAGTGCAAAAAAAGAACAAATTCGTTGGTAGGAAGGAGAAAGCAGAATGGTGGCAGCTGCTGTGGCCCCTCTTTCCACCCCTCCCTCCTTCCAAGGTGCCCAAAGTGCCACTTCTTGACCTAAAGCACACGTTTCCCATCCCTGGGCAAAGCTGAAAGGCGGGGGGGGGGGGGGGGGGGGAAACGGGGTNGGGGGGGGGGGGGGGGGAGGAGGTAACTGGGATTCCCGGGGACAAAGTCCAGTCTTCAGAACCACAGATCTCTTTCCTCACTGGGAGAACCGTATACAGCAGAGTCTCCATCCCCTCCTGGAGATGGTCTTTCTCCTGGTGATCAGGCATCCCAAAAATGCTCAGCACTCTCAGTCCTGCTTCTGGCTGCTAAGAGGAAGGTGGTTTTCATCCCATACCAAGTGTCTTGCCCCACTTCCCTCCCTGTTATTTGACGTAGAAGATCTGCCTGGAACGGGAGCAAAGTGGGAAGGGGCAATGTGGGGAGCCTGTTTCCGTATTCTGTGATGGGCCGGCCTCTCTTATGGGGTTGGGCATGTGCCAGGCTGGGCACTGCCTCCTTTTGTGGCCTGGAGAGGGATGCAGGGTGTCCACAGCTCTCCCTTCTTGGCCCAACACTGGTTTTAATTAAGGTGGCCAGCAATGGGGATGGGGAGTCAGGTGTGCGGGACCCTTTCCAGAAAGAGCAACTCTGCATGGGTGCTAAGCCTCCTGTGGCTTGGAAGGCATCTCACCCGGTTAGTCTGAATCCTCACATCTGAGATTGTCATGTACTCTTGATTTACATGGTGGGCTCTCTTCCCGTACACTGATACCTAAGTATGAGACTCCCGTTACATTTTAAAATTAAAATCCATCTTTTATTCAAGAGCAAGGCAGCCCTGAGTGGAAAAAACCTTCTCTCTACCCTCTGCATGGTGCTGCCCCTCACAGACTCCTGGGGACCCCCCACCTTCTTTTAGAGCTGAATCCAACTCTGTTACCAAGGTTCCTTCTACAGGTGGAGCTGTCCAAGGTCCTTGTATATGGCCAAAGGTCCTGGCCTGTTTTCTCCTTCTGTGAAAGGATAATTGTGCAGACCCCTGACCCCTGCTACCTTATGGGTGGGGCTGCAGGCATAGAGGCAGGCCAGGCGGTAGAGACTCTTGTAGTGCTGGGGGAAGCGGCTGAGGCAGAGGTGGAAGGCAGCAATGCAGCGCTCGGTCAGGAAGGTGCGCTGTTCCTCCAGGTCTGTGGGGAGGCCCTCGGCAAACTGGCTGGTGCAGAGGGGCTCGGCTGGTCTCTTGGGGTCGCCCTGGGGGAGGGGGGGAGCAGAGGCTTTGGAAGGCCCCTGGGGAGGGGGCTTCTGCTCCGCAGCACGGCAGGCGTCAGGGCTCTCCAGGAGGTCTTCTGGCTTCCCTAGAGGGTCCAGAAAATAGGCAATGTCACCCTCCCTTTGATCCAGCTCACCCAAATCCCGAACTGCCTTGTAGGCAGGCAGGAGAAGAGCAGAGAGTCTCCCCCCTCCCAGTCCCAGCTTTGCCTCTTCACCTCTTGCAGCAGAAGCCCAGGAAGGAACAGGCCTGCAGCTCAGCCTCAGCCTTTCTTTCCCTGGCACGAAGGCTCCAGCCTTGCCCAACTTACCCCTGTCCTCTGTGGGTGCCAGGCTCTCTTTTCCAGGGGCTGTGAGGTCCGAGCAGGAAGCCAAGGGTCTCCCCTCAGGAGAAGACTTTTTGGTGCTGTCCGGGGGGCTGCCAAGCTCCATAAAGATGTCCTGGGTGGAGTTGGAGTCCGAGAGCCCCACCGCCGAGCTGTCCTGACTCCTGTCTGCATAGGGGAAGCAGGGACACAAGTGAGACAGTGCTTTGGTGGCAACATCCCCCCCTTTTTCCAGACAGCGGCTGCTGTTGCCCCCTCTTCTATTTCAGCATTTGGTTTCTAATAAGCGCAAAGAGCAACACATCCACTCATTGGTTTCAGCACGCAGCCTCTCCTCTTGCAGCCCACTGACACTTCTTCCTTTTGTACATCAATTTAAAACTTTCAGCTGGAAGTAATTGTGTATTGTAACAAAATCTGCACACAAGACTGCAGGGCTATTTGAAAGCTCTTGTGTTCAGGTGACTATGGCAGTCCATCTCAGCAAAGCCAAAGGCCTGGGCTCCGTAAATGTGGAAGCAGCTATTGCATTACAAGCTTTTGGGGAAGATGCTCCTTTTTATCAGATATCTTATCCTCAATTAGTAACCTAAATACAGACGAGCACAGCACAACAAGCAATGAGAGTGACATTTAAAACTTACAAGGAAATGATTATAATGAAAGGGTAAATTGAGAACTCATCTGAGGATGGCTGGGAAGCTAGAGAGTGGGAGGCTGTCCTGACAAACCAGAGAAACTCATAAATGGCTAACATTCAGAAACAAAAGGCAACCTTGGTGTGCTAAGCTGGTTCTGGAAATGCTGAGCCCACTGGGCACACATATTCTCCGTGCCCCACACCACCCTCAACAAGGATACATGCAGCTTTAGCCTGAAATATCTAACAAATCTTCCTAGCATTTTAATGAATAATCCTTAGTTTTCAAAAGGCTAAAAGTCTAGATTCCCCTCCTACAAGGAATAGTGAAAACACAAACATCTGCAAGCCTGCTCAGTTATTGGCAGTCAGGCATGAACAAGCAGATCCACACCTGAAGATTTCAATTAGCTGATTTCCTGCTCAAGCCTATACATAGGAGAAGACTGACAGATTGCACGTGGGTAAGACTAGATAAGGTTCAAGGCATTCAAGGAGGACCAGACTTTGCCCTCTTGTGTCTGCATAGGGACTCCAGACTAATTCCCCATTTGACTCTTCCCCCTGGCTTGGCTAATCTCTCTCCAACACTGACTGACAAAAATCTTACAAAACTAATCTTAAATGCAGGATAGTAGGAAGCAAGCAACACTGATGCTCGGCATAAGGGAAAACTATGCAGCAACAGCTGATTGCAGCCAACTTCCCATTCTTTTTTTGGCAGAGTACTTCAGGGAAATGAATATTTTTAGTTGTGGCTAAACTAAACACACGTATGTAGATATGAACAGGAGTATTCTCCATAAGTTACTTTTCCTGGTGAAAATTCATTTGGACTGTTCTAACACTAGAAAATAAAAGATTGGCTCTGTTTGCCCAGAAAGTATTATAGAATGGGAGGAAGGTCCCAGGGCAGGATGTCCCTTTGCAAGGGCAGGAGGCGGCAGCTTGATCTAGCTCCTATCAATCTTTTAGTAATTGGGGGGCAGAATGAGGTACTAATACCCAACCTAGGCCATTTGAGGTGGCCTCAAGGGTGGCATGGAAAGTGTTCTCATGCAGAACCTGCCCTGCAGCGAAGGGCCCGGGACTTCCATTGCCAATGTGGGCTGCTTTTTCTGCAAGACTGGAGGACAGTGTTTTGGAAAGTACTTGCTATATTGAAACAGACATATGGATGCCTGGCTGGGTTTAGACTTGTCCAACCTTTGTAGGAGTGAAGGTACCCTGGACACCCCATTCTGGGGGGTAGAGAGCCACTCTTGCCATTTCAGAGGGGTGATTTTACTAAAAATGGGTGGTCTGTCAGGAGAATGTCCTCGGACATTGAGGAAAGGAGCTGGTGACTCTATCCTCCCACCCCCATCTGCCCGGGAAATTTGGAGGGAGGAGTGAAAAACCAATCCAATCCCAGAGGAGAAAGCCAATCCAGTCCAACACAGGATAGAGCCCATATTAAGAAATGAAGTCTTACTTTTTTGTCAGAATCACATTCACACAACAAAACCCCATTGCTGCCATAAGAATTAAAAACAAGGGGAAATGGATTTGGCAGCCTGTTGTAACTCAGACAAAATAACATTTTGCTGAGAATTACATGGCAGATTTCAGCAGACCTCATCTTATTCTGTCATTTTTGAGAACTGCTGACCCATTTATGATGTATATCTTTTATTTCCTGTGAGTCTGGAAAGTGGAAGTGTCTGGTAATTGTCTGCTTTGGCTCTGCCATTTCTTGCTGATCAAAACAGCCAGAGGAGAAAAGGGTCATTAAGAAACAGGGAAATTTAGTAAGTGGTAAGCTGGTTCTGGTGGAGCTTTCTTGGGAAAACACTTCCTTTAAGAAGGAATCCACTCTAGCCATTTGCTCCCTCTAGCAGCTCATCAGAGAGCAGTGGCAGTAAATAAAATCTAGGGGAAAGGCTTCATCCCTTTGAAATTTGCATACAAACAGAAAACTTTGTATACACATTAGGAAAAGTTATATTACACAAGTGTTCATCAGGGAAATCAAAGCAATGAAGAATGAAAGCAGAGTAATTTATATTAGCATGAGGATAGCAACTACAAACTTTAGGAAAAGTTGTTGAGAAAGTATCAGGGCTCTAGAAAATTAGGAAAACAAGAGTGACATGGCTGAGCACCATGGCATCAATATCATAAATTATGGGTCAGATAGAATATGCTGTAGAAAAGGTCACTAAATAGTAGGTGTTGCCTTTTCTGCCTAGTCAATTAGGGTATTACTGGATTCACAGGCCCTGGCATTAGATTAGATACCCACCAATCCTATGCTTCATGGATTGGTGCCTGCAAAGTGTTGGTATTTTTGCACATCCTCCACGTGTGTGTGTGTGTGTGCGTGTGTGGATTTCCAAGGACTCACTTTAAAGGTCTCTCTTCAGCCATTCTACAGGGAAAATTCCCAAAGTTTTAGAGTCTTAGAGGACAGTGATTTAAGAGGACAGTCTTCCATCCATTTTAAAAAAAATCTTCCCAGCTGTACTGAACAATTTTATGTGAGCCTCATATAGTGGCAGAAATCCCTGAGTCCCCTCCTTGTGGTGAAACTGCGCTGAGCAACATGGAAATGCCACAAGAAGGGCACCATGGAATGACTACCTGCAGAGGGAAGCTCACGTACACAGAAGAATTTATTGAATGTTTTATTATGTGTTCGGTTTTATTTATGATCTTGTCTTTTCGGTTAGTGGCCATAATACAGTTTTGACGTGATGTCAGTTTGGGGACAGGAGAGGCATGTGCCTCCCCCCCCCCCCGAAGCAAAGAAGAATAGCTGTTCTGGCCTGTTTCAGCCATGGTGGGCTTTTTCCTGGGTGAAAAATGGGACAAAAGCATCTAACTGATAGTTAAAACAGTCAGGCTTTAGACCATCCTGATCTGGATCCATCAGTCCCAGTTCTTCCATTTGGGGGCACCAAGACTGAATGTCTAATTTTGATTCAGCTTCAAGGTTTCTTGAAGCAGATTGCCACACCATTTCAATACAACGGCAGGCCCACTTTGGGAATAAGTCGGGCCTGAGCACCTTAACGCAGTGTTTCTCGACCATGGCCGCTTGAAGATGGGTGGACTTCAACTCCCAGAATTCCCCAGCCAGCAAAACTCATCTTCAAGCGGCCAAGGTTGAGAAACACTGCGGTGAGGTGGATGGAATTAGTTCTGCAAATGGACTTGTCTGTTACCCACCAACAGTCCTTTTTCCCCAGAAATGTAACTTAACCCATGCAGTATTCAAAACAACTGATTAGATAAGGAATAAACAGAAATGGATTCAGCAGAAAAGCAAGAGGGGCCCCAAGTCTATCCAGCCATCGTCAAGCCAATGCAGGGTGCAGCAGCTGAACTTAGGAGGCTGTTGTTGTTATGGGCTTCTCCAACATTTGCACAGCCAACAGACTCGTCAGTTGCAGCTCTGATGTTCAAGCAAGCCGTGATGGGCAACAAGCAGGTAAGGAAAGTCTATGAACTGTTTTTAACTGGGTTAGGGCAACACAGGCAATATTGATTACAAAAGCATGAATATATACAAAAATAGCAGAAACGAACAAAAACAGCCATGATTGAGTGGAGAAAGGGACAGAGTGACAAAAATGACACCGGCTCCCCTGGAATGTCTTCCGTACCTTCAAGGCCCAGGGGAAGCAGGATCCTGCTGACCGATGAAGGCAGCTGGACAGCAGGGCAGCCGGGGAGGGGGGAGCAGGCAAATATCTGGCCATGGGTAACCAATTTCAATTTAGACACTTCCCATTCCTTTCTATAGAACGGACTGTGCTGATCAAAAACAGGCCCAAGATAGGCCTCTCTTTAGCCAGATGTGCTTTCCCTAGTTGTCTTCTCTCATTCTGCCGTAATAAAAAGCAGGCATTCTTTCGTGCTTCTCTGGCTGCATCACTGAAAATCCAATAGGGTTTTGGCCAAGTCAAGCTGCTTCTGTCTGCAGGAATCCATTCCTGTGCCCCAGCCTTAACCAAGGAGCTGGGCTGACAAGGCAGTGATTTTTTTAAGCCAATCTGATCTGAATCACAGTCAAGATGAGGGAGAGAAGCCAAATCTTGTGGACATTGCCATAAGGAAGAGACTGGTCTGAGAGTCAGAGCCTTTCTGTGTTCAAACCAGGGAGGAACATTGCAGAGGCAAGGAGAGAGGAGTTCTCCACCCCACCCTCCCTCTTCTCCTTCATTAAGGATTCAAAGACACTGAAACAACTCTTGGAGCCCATCCCTCCCTCTGAAAGAGCAGGTCAGCCTCATTTCCTGGAACTCAAAGCTGATGTATCTGTTTAGTTAAAAACCCTCACTGAAATTTTGATGCCACAGAAATGGCTTTTCTCATGTTGGAGAATATGCACAATATGCATAAGCCTTTAAGCCTGCTAGGACACACTGCTGAGTGAAGTGGCTTCCAAGGCAATGGAGAGTAACACCGTGAAACAACGAAGTTAACTTTTTCAGCTGGCTGATGGCCATGGGAGTTAAGGGCCATTTAATTTAGGCACAAAGCCCCCTCCTGAGGGTGACTCACTCAGCCCAGGTGAAGTTATGGAGGTGCTGAATCATATCTGCAGCCAGTCATGGATTGGATAAGACAAGAAACCGGCTTTCATTCTTTCTTCTGAGCAGCACCCAAATTCCATATGGATTACAGACATGTGATCAGTTCTTAACGGGGTTTCTCTGATTTCCCGGAGCACATTTCTATCCTCCATTTCTATGGAGGCCTTGGGTGACTTTGGGCCAATCTCTCTCTCAGTGCAACCTACATCATAAAACTTTCATGGGGGGAAATGAGAGGAGGAGTGCTCTGTATGTCTTGGTGAGCTCCAGCACAAAATGCAGGAGATAAACCTAATTTTCTTGAGTCCAAACCCTCGCCATCCCTGCTCATATAAAGGACCAGCTGAGAAGAGCAGCCCCAGACACACACACAGCCCCACCAGGGTCAAGGGCTCCTACTAAAGATCTTCTATAAAGGCTGCTATGTTCCATAAATACTCCTAAGTACTGAATGGCCAACTGAAGCGGTTCCCTTTCTCCACTTTGGCTTGGCCATCATGATTCCTCTTGCCCCGCTGCCTCCCAACTATGCCAAAATTCACTTCTCCTCTGGTCCTACTTGGAGAGGGTCCCCCAAGGGCAGCCCTGGGAAACTCTGTCTTCTGAGTTAAAATGGCCACTCATCTGCTGTTGCTTCTAGCATGCGCTGCTTGGATTTAGGGAGTTATAGCCCACCCTTTCAATTAGTACAAGAGAGACAAGTATCATGTTCCAGAAGAGAAGGCTTCTCAGAAAAGCAGTTTTATGAGATGACTATGGACAGAGAAATGAAAAATAGGTAGACAGTGGCAAAGATGCCAACAAAACAATGCTGAAGCTCCTCTCAAAGGGAAGCGGAGCAGGGAATCCATCCTGGTGAATGGGCCCAGGTCCACCAAAGGTCAAAGATCCAGCTCTTCGGGATAAATTATTCCAAAAGGATGAGATGGTCACCCAAATCCTCGCGGGAAATGTTTGCAGGAAGGCTCCTAATCAAGCATCTTTCATTAGTGGGTCGAGGGCATCTGCTCTGGCTGTGACTGAATGCCAAGAATGAACAAGTGACCTCGAGGGCTGCGACAGAAGACAGGAGGGAAGCCTGCAAATGTTGGCCTGGCTCTTGACTGATAGGAAAGGCCATATTTGCATGCTCAGCCTTAAGCCCTGCTTGGCCTACAGAGGCCAGGAAACAGCCTGGCGGTGAGGCTGTTTTTGCCTTTTCCAGACAAGGAAAGCAGCGGTCTCCATCTAGATGCCGAACTGAAGCCCCGCAAAGCAAGGAGGCCCCTTCCAGTCTCCTCTTTTGGAACATTTGGAGGACCAGAGAGCAGACTCTTCCTGTGCTCCCTGGAAGAGACGGCAGAGCTTTCTGTCACAGAGCCGGACCCTTGCAAGGTTACCCGGTGGATCAGGGCCCATCCCAACAGGCAGCCACTTCCCATCCAGCTGCAGCAGGACAAGCCGCCCATCCACTGTGGCACTGAGCCGGCCTGTGAGAAGAAACAGGCGGTGTGGAGTGGGAGCACCCATGCTGTGACAGCCAGGAATCCTGGGAGTTGAAGTCGTCCATGTGGGGCGCTCAAGACAAGGGCAAAAGTTTGGATTTTTGAAGGGGCTCTGGGAAATACCCTGAGCCTGAGACCTCAGGAAAGTGCCTTAACTAGACCCACCTACTCGTTTAGGCCAGAGGGGAGGTGGTGGCAAACTGAAAGGGTTAATGAGTGACAATATTGCCCGTGTTACCCTGGACCCCTCACCCTCCTGGAAGCTGCCAATTGAGCCCGCCCGCCCGCCAGGAGTCCAGCACCTCCGAGTGCCGACAGTATTGAGAACAGGGACTGTACCATCCGGTGTTGCCTGCTGATGGCTTTTTTTACATTTGACGTAATCGTGGTCAACTGGAGTGGCTGTGTAGGGTGGGGAAGTCAGACCTGGACCGGAGGAAGAGAGCAGGGAAGTCCCGGGGCCTGGCAGAGTTCCTGCAGAAGAATGCGAGTCCTCATCTGCCATGCAAAGCTTTTCCCTGGGGGAAGAAGAAGAAGAAGAGACCGTGAAGAGAGGAAAAGACCACAGTGGCTCCTGGGGGGGGGAAGTATTTGGAGAGGCAAGGGGCCTGGTGCAGGACCACTGTCACAGCTGGACAAGGAGACAGAACTCAATGCAAACTTCTGGATTCTTCAGGGCCAAAGAGCAGAGGCCTGGCCTTGGTGGCCCTTTCTTAATGCTCTTTTTTTCGATTCCATAGCCCATAAAGCTACTCCCCTCCCCTGTTGCTGCCCACAGTCCCTCTGACAGCCCCATGCCCACTTTCTGGCTTCTGCCAAGGAAATGCACCCAAATGTTTATAGCCCCCCCCCACTGCAGTTAATCCACTCCAGGCAGCTACTTCTTTCTTTCCCTCAACCAAAGACCTGGACTGGCAGCTTTTTCAGGATTTGTTGCCCTTCTAACTAACACATAATTTTGGCATTTTTTGAAAACTCTCATATTCAGGCCCAGATTCCAGTCATTTAAGAATTAATTGAATATAGGGACTTCCGGTTTGCCACGGCCGCCATGGACGTCTGGGAGATGAGTTTCGTCTCCCCTGTCCAGTTTCGCATCGCTGGGGGCCCCTGAAAAGGGTCGATATACAGGGGAGTTTTGAACGTTGAAAAAATAATTGGATCCCAACTGGAACTTTATTGCCTAAAGCTTGTGGATTAAAAGATTTTTGATTACTTACTTTTTACTTTCTATTTTTATTTGAAAGTCTGGGTTTTTTCTCTTAAAATAGAAGAAAAAAACCAAAAGGATTAAAATAACTTTGAGATTTAAAGGAATTCCTTAAACAGTGGGGTGACATCTTGTGGCTAAACCTGAAATTGCAAATTGTTATTCTTAAAGAAAAGAGACTTGGCTGACAGTTCAGAAAACAAGATAAGATTCAAGTAACCTTGAACACCAACTGTGAGAGTTTTAGCTCTGTTTCCTATTTACTGGGGGGGGGGGACTGTAAAAGTTTTCAGTTCAACTCATCACCATGGAAGACCAGGAACAGACCTTTCCTATGGAAGAAATACAAAAACAATTTTTTGCTATATTGAAAATAACTTACCAAACTCACCAAACTCTTCTTACAGCTGGTGATGAAATAAGAGCTTTTGGAAAAAAACCCAGAAAGCGTCTTTGATATGCAAACTCAAACTTTGACTATAACTAAAAACCTATCTATACAGAATACAACAGAAAAAATCAAACAATCAAATATTATTACAGAAGACCTAACTGCCCAACAAGTACAGACAATAGAAAATCCAGAAAAAAATTTGACAACATGGATGGAGGAAAAAACCTGCTATATAAATCAGAAGGAATTTGAAGATCAAGAAGAGAAACAGATGGAAGAAAAGATAAACAGTTCAGGACAATTACGTCAAGAGGAGAAAATAAAGAGACGATCTGGTAGTCCTCAGCTTTCCAAAAATGGAGACTGGATGGTCATCTCAATATGACATAATATATACAATAATACAAGAATTCTTTGAGGACCCTGAAGCAAGAATATGGAAGATGATTTGGCAAAGAAAAAAAAGCCAGAATAAGACTGAAGAAGAATGGAGTGTGGACACATTTAGGAGGTTTAAAATAGAATATATCTAAGTAGACAAGACCCGTATTTTGAATACGAGATATTGTTATGATGTGAAGATAAAGAAAAATGTTGGCTAATTAAAACCTAGATGCATAAATATCAACAGTTAAACTGAAATATTGAGTTGTTTATAAAGGTTAGATAAAGGTGATTAAGACATATATATATATATTAAGAGTGATGTAATGTAATTAACATGTTTTGATGTAGTGATAAGAATAAAAATTATAAGCTTAAATATGAGAAAGTGGACATTAGGAAGAATGCTGAAATGGGAGAAATTTTGGTTATTGAATCTATAATATCTGGAAATTATAATGAAATAAGAATATTATACTGTATTACTAATCTGTTGATATAGAAGTGAGATAGATAAGATATTTATCCAGAACACTAGATGTTGGGGGAAATTGTGACAAAGGGAATTGGGGTCATTTAAAAATTTGGAAATGATAAATATTAAATGTTAAATTTAAATATCAACGCAAAATTAAAGCTGGGAAAATTCATAACGTTATTGATGGTCCAAAAGATGGAACGTTAAAATAAATAAGACATATAAAATTATTGATAAATGTAAGAAAGCTATTAAGTAGCTGATGGATAGAATAAGAAATATACTAATTTAAACAAGAGACAATATGTATTAAGAGAAAAAAGAGAGGAAATATTGGCTGTAATAGTTGGAGATTTGTATTAATAATATTTGTATGTAATGGAATTATTGTAACTCAGACACCACGTTGCTTTTCAAAGATATAATTGTAACATTGGAAAATTAATAAAAAGTTTTTTAAAAAAAGAATTAATTGAATATAATGGTTGTGGTGGTGGAGCCGCATGTACTACACTGCGTTGTGACAGATGCTGGCAGCTCCACTTGCGGACGCTCCCTGACCTTCCCTTCTTATGCAGGAGGTCTGCCTAGGAGGCTCCTGTGGAAAAATGCTACATACTTGTAACTCAATGCACTTTTCAGAAATCAAAATACAGGCAGTCCTCAACTTATGACCACAGTTGAGTCCAAAATATCTGTTGCTAAGCAAGACAGTTAAGTGAATTTTGCTCCATTTTACGATCTTTCTTGCCACAGTTGTTAAGTGAATCACTGCAGTTGTTAAGTTAGTAACCCGGTTTAAGATATTTAAATTTAATAGCTGGTGCAGTGGGGTTGTGCAATGAGCCAGAACACAGTTGTGGTTAATTGGTTGTAGATTGCTGGCTCCTGAGTGAGGCAATCTGTGCTGTGATTGGTTGCTATGGATGCAGAGGGGGAATTCCCCACCACCACCTTTTTTCCAGTGGGGGCTCTGTAATTTACCTCACGATGTTCCTGCTGTGTTGATTTACCTGACTATGCTCCTGTTTGCCTATTTCATCTGATGTAAATACAGTTATTTATATAAAACTACAAGTTCATGTCAGTGCCTATGACTTCATTTGGACACCAGCTACGCAATTCCCTGACATGGTTTGTTAAGTCAATCTGGCTTCTCCACTGAATTTGTTAGAAGTCACCAAAGGGGATCATGTGAACCTGAAACACTGCAACCCTCATAAATACACACCAGTTGCCAAGCACCCAAATTTTGAACACGTGACCCTGGGAATGCTGCAATGATCGTAACTGTGAAAAGTGGTCATAAGTCACTTTTTTCAGTGCTGTTATAACTTCAAATGATCACTAAACGAATGGTTGTAAGTCAAGGACTACCTGTATTGAAATGCTGCAGCCCTAATAAATCATGTTGAAAATTACATCAGTTATTTTTAGACTGATTTATTACAATCAACCTGGTTTATTTTGGTGATAAATAATTTATGTTCTGCTGAGTTACTTTTGGAGCCTTTCCTCTGCAGATATAAATTATTCCGCTTTTGTTTTTATGCAAAAGTTATTTTGATATTTTCCAATTCTATATTCTCAAGGAATACTACCACACATTTTAATGTGGTCTGAAAAGAATGTAAAGGAACATTTCTGTCTTCCTACATGGTTGAGATCTGGCACCAAAACTGTAAGCACCTCTGAGGTGATTGTTCTGGAATGCTGATCAGTCACTGATCAGCCATTGATAAAAGCTGCAAAACTCTGCCAGCTTCTGGATCACCTAAACCCTGACTTACCCAGACTGGAAAAGGGGCATAAGGATGGCAGCTGCTGCTTAGACCTGTTTGCCCAGCTGTGCAGAGGACAATCCAACAAGCACAAGGCTTGTGTAAAACTCCTGAACAGCCTTGTGTTACCGGGTGACAACTGGGTGAGAGAGCAAAACCAATCTTCTGCTCAAAATAAATCTTAAAATGTGAAAAAAAGAGGAATGTTGCATTTGAATTTTTTGATCTTTGTGGGAATAAAATTATTTGCAGGGATAGCCAGAACCCTGTTTGCTTAGCCCCTTAGTGAGGGTCCCTAGCATTCAGAGCAAGCATGTCCTGTTGTCAGTGAGGAATTTTCATGGAGTCCCAATCCCATCCCTGACCCAGCATGGCTTCAAGGGTGATGAGAGCCACACCCTAACACTCCCCCCCGCCATGATTTTTACAGCTGGAGAAGAAGAGTGGTCAGCTACTTCTGCTCTCCCAGCCCTGCCCCACACACCCGTCTCAAGACTGGGCCCCAGCACTTGATGGGGGGAACTAGGTGGGCCCTCCGCCCTTCCCTCCCACGATTCCCTGCCTCAGGCATGCTGCCTGGATCCTCATTCTGGGACCCCCAGGGGGTGGGGAAGACTGCGTCTCTTGGAGATGCCCAGCTGGTGGCTCTGCCAACCAAAGTCCCGAGAGGGTTTTAGTGATACAGAGGATGGTCCTTCTTATGTCTAGCCAGCTGTCCAGAGGCCTGGGAAGATTTCAGCAGAGCTTTTCATTTATCGTCCATCTCTCCCCCTCAGGGCTAAAACTTCAGACAGAACGTGTAAACTGGGCAATTCAAAATGTCAGAATGTCCAAATGCTGTAATATGTCTTCAAACGTTTGCTTTTAGTGCCACTTCCCCCCCCCCTCCCCAGCAAACTCTGCCCATTTCCCTCCCTGTGGGTTGAAGCCATCAACAAAAGGGACTCACTTTTCAGAGAGCTTGGGGGTGTGTTTTTCCTCTCCCCTGGCAAAGGGCCCCTCGGCTGCTTCCTTCATAAAAGTCACCAGCAGCTCAGCGTCTGCTCCCGAGTCAGGTCTTCCCACCAGTTTTAGGATTGATGCGTGGAGCCGAAAGTAGACCTGCCAGAAAGAAACTCACGGTGGCAAAAGCTTCTTTGAATCCGGTCATCTTACAAAATCCATACAGGAGAGAGAATGAAAAGCAATGCAAGCCAGGTCCACCTTAAAGGGGTCTGGAGTCAGCTTTCTTGGCAGTGTCCAACTGGCAGGACCATGCTGCACCTCTCAGGGCAGTTGAAGCCCTTCAAGCCACTGGAGGAGGGCCTTTCGCGTCTTTCGCATCTTCTCCTTCGGCAGGAAAGGCGGCTGGGTGACTTTCGGCCAATCGCTTTCATTCAGCCAAACTGGGTGGGGGTGGTTGTGACCGAAGGAGAAGGAAGGAGCCGTGGGTATGTCTGCTGCACTGAATTATATACTTAAAAAGTGGAATCATCCATCCAGCCAAAGGGGCTCGATGTCAAATTAGAAGAATGGCAGACAGGCTTCTCTTGCACCTCCCTCACCCCCAGTTAGGACTAGAAGGGGCTGGAAGTAGGTTGAGGAGATGCACAGGAATGCAACCTTTCTCAAATTCCCAAGTTTTAGCATTTTTGGAAGACGACACAGTCCAGGATAGACATCAAGCCCCTTGTCTGCTGTAGCCCCCAGGGGAAGGGAGGCTCAAGCTCGGCCAGCCTCCTCCATCAGGCTGAGGCAACTTGCAAGGCCCTCATCAACTGAAGGCCAAAGTGGAAGAGCAGCTGGACTTCACCTGAACCACAGGCCACCTTTATGTAAAGGTGGCATTGGCTCAGCTGCTACCTATGGATCACCCGGGGGTTGGCAGCATGACTGGCGGGTCTGGACCTTGCCTTACCTCCAGGGCCTCCATGGCAAGCTCTGGGGGGTTATGATAATGGATCTTCTTGGGGTACCGGGCTGCCTCTTCGTGCAGGAAGTGACCCGCCTGCTTGTAGTGAAAGAGGTAGAATCCCGGGGGCTGCTTCTGCTTCTCCGCAATCTTCCCCAGCATGTAGTGGATCAGCCATTCTTCTTCGTCTCCGTCACCCTCGCAGTGGGAAGCCGACGTGAAGCAGTGCTGGGCCGTTTCCAACATGCTGTTGCGCCGCTCTTCCATCTGAAAGAGGAAGCCGGCTCAGCAGCGGCTCATGAGCAGGGCGGTGAGCCCTTCGCGCCACGACACCGGTGCCCACCTGCTGCACCACCTCCGAGGGCAGCTCCGCTTTCCACTGCTTCAGCTGCCGGGAGGCGAACGAGTGCAGAGCGTAGGAAATGGTGCCGTACTCTATCCAGAGCGAGAGGTTGGAGCCATCGATCTCAAGGGCTCGTCTGAAGCAGCTCAGCACTGGGCTGGAGTGCTTCCAGATGAGGCTGTCGCTCTTCAGTTCATTGGAGTTCAGCTTATCCTGAATGCGGCTGGCCCGGGCCAGAGCCATCCCTGCCCACGAGTCAAACCTGAAAGAGAACACACCGCCACAATCCCTCTCTGCGCACCTAAGAACCCAGCAGGGCCGAGCACGGAGGCCCCCCCGCCAGGGCCCCTGGCCTCTCAAGGGAGCTGCCAGAGGGTGGGCAGACAGACTCAGGGACCCTGACCCAAAGAGAGGAATCAAAGAGTGTTTGGGGGGTTTATTCCAGCTTCTATAGTAGCTGCTTTTTCAGCTAAGCTTTGTAAATACAACATACAGTTAGTTGGCTAATTGCCTGACCTTCCATAGCAGTATATATGGATATATATAGGTATATATACCATGTATATAGGTGTCCGGATTTTAATATAAGCTTAATGTGTGTGTGCACCAGTGTATTTTTTTAAACCTTATAAATGTTAGAGGTTAAGTTGTGTGTGTGTGGGGGCTGTCACACAGATTAATGGCAGTTCTCTCTTCAGTCTGGCTAGCAACTGTTGCCTGCTACCTTTCCTCTAGCAGAAGACCTGAGTGCCTGCAACTCTGTATGTACCCTCCATGCTGGTTTGCAATTGTCCTATAGGGTTGTTACTTCTCTTTTGGTCTTCAGATAGAGCCAAATAATTCTCTTCAGTGGTGCAAACACTGCCCAATTTAACAGTTTTGCCAGCCCTTCCTGGTCCTTCATCAAAGCCTGTAGCCCATCTTTACCAGCTGTTTGCTGTCCAAATCCTTTTTAGCTGCCATGTCCTCCATTCCCAAGCCTCAACTTCCTGAACTTGTATATGATAGTGCTTAAATCTATGTCTCTAATGCCACACTAATAACATTCATTTTCCTACGAGAACTAAGTCCTTTGAGAATCTAAACTAATGCCTATTCTAAACTCTCTATCAGCAAAGGGAATATAAACTGTTTTGTTTCTGTGTCCAATCAACCTGTTGTTGTTGTGAAGTTAAAAATGAAAGGAGATCCAATGAAGTACTAACTAATTTTATAAACAAAAACATATTGTGCAGAATCAAAGAGCTGAAAGGGGCAATTTACACCCAACCTTATGCTTAATTCAGGATCCAAATTAAAGCATCTGGTATCATTTCTAGTTAGAAACTGCTCTGAGAGCATTTTCAGGCAGCTGAAAGAATGTCTCAAGGCTGCAGTCCCAGACCCCAGAGTCCTACCTGGATGTTTTCCCTGGCTCATTTCCTATTCTTTTATGAATTTAATATCCTCTGTTGGCTCTAAGAATCTTGTGAACCATGAAAATCTTTCACGGTTTCAATGTCAAAATATAGCAATGGGATTGATTTTGGATGATTGCAATTCAATTAAAGTACTCTTAACAAATATCAAAACCGTGTAACAGATGTAAAAATAACAGAGTAGACATCCATCCATGTTTCGACCTGTGCTCACATCAGGCATTTTCATGGTCCTCCCATTTCAAGGGCAGAACAGATCAAAGAGGAGATGCCTCTCTCCACGGTGGAGCGTGGGGGAGGTGGCCCTCATTCCCTCCTGCGGCATCCGCATCACCTACTTCCCACTGAAGGGCTTTGCTCAGGAAAGAAGCTGCTGCTGCTCCTGCTAGGATCTACAACATCTGCAGCAGCAGCAGCAGCCTTCTGGAGGCCCTGGTGCCCATGGAAAGCAGCCCGTGGGCAGGGTCAAGGGAAGCACCTGGGCAGAGGCTCCCGTCTGAGCAGCCGGCCAGCCTGACCTGTTTGGGCAGATGCAGATGTCATGCATGTAGAACTTGATGGCCTTGGACTGTTCCTTATTCTTGAAGTGGTAGTCAGCCAGGAGGTAGTACAGCTCAGTCACCACTGGAGGAGAGAAGTCAGCACCTTCCGGGAGGGCTGGCACCTGGCAACAAAGAGAAACACATCAGGCACCCCTCTTCGGTTCAGGGATCAGGGCAGCTTCTGGCTCGGTGGGGAGGGCTGTCCGGACTGCCTCCTAGGTTCCTAGCCTTCAGGAGACTAGCAAAAGCTGACCAGCAGATGTTCCATCTGGAGGTCCAGAAAGGGCCAAAAGAAGAGAAAGCAACAGGCAACTGTTGTCTAAGGGTGGGCTGACACCTCCAGTGCGTCAGTGGGCATTTGTCTTTATACGCTTGTATAATCTCCATTGGCAGTTTACCCAATAAAATCATACTAAATCTAAGACAACATTGCATTAATAATCCACTGTAGAAATAGGAATGGCATTCCCAAAATGGTCTCCAGAAAAGCTGTTTTAGCTAGTTTCTGGGAGGCCATCAGGTGAGGCACTAAAGGGATCTCAACCACTCTGAATCAACTTGTTGAAACTGGTTGCAAAGAATAAATAGATGACTAAACAAGGGAGCTAAATTACAAGGAGGCAGATTTTGACTGGATAACAGGAAGAATATTCTAATGGTAAGACATATTCAACAATGGAATAGACTTCCTCGGGTGATGGAGGACCCTTACAAAGGAAGTCAAATGCCAGGGATAATGTAATAGTGGATTCCTTTCTTGGGCAAGGGATTGGATTGAATCAAGGTCCTTTCCAATCTTTACATCCTGTAATTCTATGAAACTGAAATATGTACAAAGAGCAGTAGTGACAACTATCTGATGATAGAAAACTAAAAGAAATTCAATGAGCTGGATATGTTCAGTCGTGAGAAAAGGCAGCTGAGATGATATAAGTTAACATACTTCGAATACCTTAAACTCCATCTCACAAAAGAAAGTCAGAATGCAGGACAGGGGATAATAGATAACAGATGTTGGAAAGTAGATTCCAACTTAATCTCAGAAACTGTAAAATCAGATGGATAATGGGACTTAATGGTGGCTTTCTTAAAGCAGGGACTATGCAGGTTTCTAACAGGGATGCTTAAACTGAGTTGGACGCAACAGAAGAGAATCTCTGAGCTCAGGGTTTAATTGGTGCTCTCCGAGCTTCTCTGTCGACCTGCAGACATTCCATTAAAAGAGCAACACCAGCAGTGATCAGAGTTTAATCTCATTCCTTGTAGGACCTTCTTAAGTGCAAGAAAAGGAGAGTTGTTTCCGTGTGCACCAAAACCTTTCCCGTCTTTCTCATCCAATAGCTCCAGCCAGCTCTCTTCTGAAGTCTGAAAATAAAGCACTTGTGACTCATATTAAGCATTCCGAGAAGCAAAATAATTCATACCTTGCTCAAGGTCCCTTCAATGTAACTCGACACTTCTTCCAATCTGAGCATAGGCTTGTCTGTTTGAGGGACAATAGTGGCCATCTTCTTCAGAAGATTGGCTAGGTCAGCAGAGACGGTGCTGGTTTTATAGCTGTCAAACTCAGGAAGGGTCTTGGGCTTAAAATATTCAAACATGAACAGGGCATCTTCCCAGATCAATTCCACCTTGGAAAGAATGAAAGAGATTTTAAATACGCATTGATCAAACCAACGCATGCAATGAGTATTACCCAGAAGGCTCCTCCTTGCTCAATTCATTTCACCAAACCTTGACAAGCATCTGTTGAGAACAGATCACTTTGGATCCCTGTACCGTGCGCCAGGTTGACAGGGTTGGATTTCATAACCTGAATGATTTCTTACCTTCTAGGATTCTAAGGAACAGCTGTGCAATAACCTTTCAAGGTCCTGAACAGACAGAGCTGCTCTAAGGTTAATTTTACTGACAATATCATTAGTTTGTTTTCACTATTTGTGATTAAACCTTTTTGGTTACATTTTGAGACACAATTTGGGAAAAAAGATGAACACCAGGAAGCTGTCTTAGAAACCTGTGGCTGACCATTGTCAGAAAGATGGCACCTTTCACCTGCGAGACTAGCGAAGATGTACAAAGATAAATCTGTTAAATGTTGGAAATGTAATCAAATACCAGGTTTGTGCTATCACATGTGGTGGACATGTCCCAAAGCAAAAAAATATTGGAATAAAATACATGTATGGTTGGAAGCAATGATAAAACAACATATAGATTTAAAACCAGAGATATTCTTACTGGGCAGGAAATTACAATAAAGGCAATACTTATTTAGTTTTATATATTTTAACAGCAGCTAGGATAGTATATGCACAATTTTGGAAAAATGAAGAAACTCCTACAGAAGAGAATATAATTAAAAAATACTGGAATGTGCAGAAATGGATAGGTTAACGATAAAAATTAAAGAAAAAGAAGAAACGGAATATTATATGACATGGATTTATTTTACCAATGGTTAGTTGACAAAAACAGAGGTTAGGAAGTTGGAAATATAAGAATGTGGATTATGTAAATAAGACTTATAATGGATTAGTAAATAGTTTGATTGTTATATAACTAATGTTAATGTGGGTAATACTATTTTTAATATTTTGATTGCTATTTCTTAGTATATGATTGTATCTTGATAAGATTATTATGAATATTATTATATTTTAATACTTGTATACCTAGACAACACACTGTTCAATATAGAAATGGGATTTTTTAAATTATATATATATATATATATATATATATATTAAAACAGTGAAAAACACACGAGCACCAGGGAATGTGGTAAAAAATTTTGGTTTAATGTTAAAATTACTAAAACTACTAATAAAACCAATTAAAACGCCTAGCTTTCGTCAGCTATCTGCTGACGTCCTCAGGGCTCAAAATGTCAGTCCATGGGAGTTGTTTTTATAAC